TGTAGATACCGGGTGCCAGGTAAGGGATCTCGACCTCGAGGACGAACCTTGGAGCTGTCAAGGGGAGCTTGCCACTGTGCAGTTCGCTGCTGTGCAGGAGAGCTCAGCGGGCTGTGGTGGCTGCTCACGGGTACAGCTTAAAGCGATTGACCTCTAGTCAAGCTCCCTTCTGGTGCAGATGCAGCTGCGCAGCCCCAGCAGCTGTGGTTTCATCTGGTCCCAGCTCAGGCAGGTACTGCTAGCTTCTGGTAAGGCACGACCTAAATCCCTTCAGTTCCTGAGAAGATGGGGCCTCCCACGATTTCTCAAGGTTTGTACAACAGGGCTGACTTCACTCAGGCCTACTAGTTGGTGACCTGAGCCAAAGCACTGGTAATCCAGTCAGCGTGGGTGCACCTGTCGCAGGGGCACGACTCACCTCGACAGCCCTCTGTAAGAAGCCACCCCCTCCACACTAGGCTGTAGACAGCCCTATAACTTCCTTTTATTCTTACCTGGTGCATTCACAGCTGGTTCGTAGCTAAAAACACCACCAACAAAAAGCAAAGTAAGCTTCCTTACCTACACAAGTGATGTTAACACCGGGTTTGGTAAGTGCAGGTGGATCTGTTCCTAAGAACTAGCCACTGCATTAAGCCTGTGTGCACAGAGTTATTTTAACACTAATTTAACGCTGTCCACGCACTTGTTAAATATTTGATCTCTGACTACAGCTGTGCCTAGTCTACTTATAAGCATCTCTTATATAAGCACAGAAAACTGTTTTGCTCAGTAAAGTAATTATTGAGCAGCATTCAACTGTTTAGTTAAATATACAGCAGATCTTTCCAGGGAAGGTAGTTCACATTTTTATATTCTAATAATCTACAATGGTATTTTATGCACCTTATGGCATATTTACCAAGTTTGTACCAGACAATAAATCTATCACCTGCACAGACATAGCTACTTAAACCAGTATTTTCTTTGAAAAACATTGAGAATGATGGAAAACATACTATGCCAGCAAGTAGTAACGGGCGAGGGGGGAATACATCTTAGCGCTCTTCTGGCTAATGCTGTTCCCCAAGAAGCTATCCTCCTCTGGTTCTTGTGTGATGAATACAGTGCTGCTGGGCTGTTGCCCTCGGCCCTGGTGCCAGCACAGAATGTGGCGTGCTGGGGCGGCACCAGCCCCGAGCTCCCTCAAGGAAGGCTGTTCAGACTCAGACAGCGAAAGGTGCCGTACTCACTTCTTTTGAATTCATTCCTTGGGATCCTTCAGTGCTTCATCGAGACTCGCTCCGGCTCCGCTCTGCAGTAGGGTTTTGTTTCTCCAGTGTCTGCACCTCAGCTGCACCTTCTTCCTCTTCAGCTTCCTACAGAAAAACCTGCATTCAGACGAAACTTGGCAAGCCACTTCTTGCAGCAGAAGAGTGAGCCTCCTACTGGAGACATAATAGATGTCCTCTTTACGAGGAAGAATTTCTTGACAAAAAGGTAGACGTGTAAGCAAGCCAAGTATGACTACAGTTTGCACGCTGTCAGAAAGTACTGCTGACAGCTTTGGCTCACAGCAGCCAGGGTTCAGGTGGCCAAAGTATTTACAACATTTGGGGTAAAGGAATAGTTTTGGACAATTTTTAAAGACCATTCTAATAGAAAAATATTCCTTTTATTCCCTCTTTAGTGGGTCCCCAACATGACTCCCAAGGCATAATCAAGACATTTGTTCTAAAGTTAGTAATCTAAAGGAGTACTTCTACGAAATTCACCAAAAATATTAAGAGTACCAATGCCATCAGGAAAGGAAGAAAAAACCCACAAGTTTTTTCCTAAAACAAAACTCAGAAATTGAACTTAGTTTTGAGCTTTAATACAGCACATCCACTGTTTTTTGCATCTGCAGAATACACAGATTTACAGTGAACATACTATATCTGCGCAGGAACTCAGCTTCAAATCACAAACCAATTGCCAACCAAAGGCAAAGGGGAAGCTGCTCTCATATCAGCTGTTCCATAATTACCTGTTGTGAGGACAAAGGTGCCTTCTTCACAAGCTTCAGGACAAGAGGAGAGGCCAGTAAGGGGGACAGCTTTCGTGGGAGTGTGCTACAGACCACCCAACCAGGGTAACAAAGTGCAGGGACGCTCTCACCTCTTCAAGCAACTCCAGGAAGTCTCTGTATCAGACTCAGGTTCTCATGGCTGACTTGAACCTCCCTGGTGTCTGCTGGAAGGGCGACGAGACACAAGCAGCCAAGATTTCCATGGGGTGTCAGCAACAGCTTTGCGACACAGCTATCGAATGGGCCAGCCAGGGGTGACGCACAGCTGCACCTGCCGCTCGCTAACAAAGGAGGAGCTCACCGGGGACGTGGTAGTCAACTCGGCCGTAGTGGTGATGAAGTCGTGGAGTTGAAGGTCCCGAGGGGAGTGATGAAACAGAGTAGCAGATCCTGGACTTTGCGTACTCAGGGAGCGACTACATGGGATCCTATGGAAGGCGGCTCTGATGGGTGAAGGGAAGCTCGGGAAGGCTGGCAGGTCTTTAATGAGAGCATCCTCCACGCACAAGAACGGGCCATCCTTGTAGTCGGGAAGACAAGCAGGCTTACTAGGAGATCGGTTTGGCTGCCCTGTGAACCCATGATGGAGCTCCAGCATAAAAGGGCAGCATATAGAAGGTGGAAACAGGGACAGGCTACAAAGGAGGAATTTAGAAACATTCCCCAGGTGTGCAGCGATGGTATGAGGAAAGCCAGAACTCAGCTGCAGCTGAGTCTTTTCAAGGATGTCGAGGGCAATCAGAATTTCTGCAGTTACACTGGGAAATGTAGGCCTGTTGCTGAGTGGGTCATACATCCCAACACCTCTGCTTCTTCTTACCAAAAAGGTCTCAGAGGCCTTTGAAATATGTAAGAGTGCAAGAGGAGAGCTGCCAGCTGTGGATGAGGATCAAGCTAGGGATTTCTCGAGAGAGATGGATTCCTACAAGTCCAGGAGACCTGACGGGCTACATCTGAGCGTACTGAGAGACCTGGCAGATGTCCCTGCAAGGTGCAGGTCCCTGGTGACTGGAAGAAAGCAAATGCCGCAGCCCTCTTCAAAGATGCCAAAAGAACAACCCAGGGAACTGCAGGTTCAGCCAGCTTCACCTCTGTCCCTGGGAAAAATCATGGGGTGAGTTATCTTCGAGTGTATTGCTGGGCATGTGAAAGAGAAGCAAGGCTTTGGAGACAGCATGAATTTATCAAGGGTAAATCACACCTGACCAACCCGACTGCCTTCTATGATAAAATGACTGGATTTTTGTCTGAGGGGACAGTAGCAGATGTCATATAACCCAAAATTTTCACACTGTCTCCTGCATTATTCTAGTATCCAAATGAGGACATTACAGCCTGGACAGGTGCACAGCTACATCACCAAAAACAGGTTCAATAATTGGGCTCAGACAGTAGAAGTGAGTGGGTCATACGCTACCTGCATGGCAGTGACCAGTGGAACACCGTAAGGGTCTGTCCCGGGATGCATCCAGTGTGACATCTCTGCGAGTGATCTGGAGCAGGGGAGGAGGTGACTTCCTGCCAAATGTGTGTCTGGCACCGAGCTGGGGGAACAGCTGACGTGCTTGAGGGTAGGGCTGCCACTCAGCGGGAGGAAAGGGCTGACAGCAACCTTACGAATCTCAGCAAGGGCAAGTGCAAGTCTTGCTCAAGTGAAGGAAGAGCCTCTGGCAACCATGCAGGCCAGGCACTGACCAACTGGGAAAAGACCACTTTTCTGACCTCACAGCTGACCCTGTTTTATGCAGGGGAACGGACCAGATGCTTCCTGAGGTCCCTTTCAAACAACTGATCTGACCACTTAACAATGAGTGTTGCATGCAGATTTGGGGAGGGTCAACAAATCCATCTCCGAGTATTCATAGAATCACAGAATGGTAAGGGTTGGAAAGGACCTAAAGATCATCTGGTTCCAAGCCCCTGCCGTGAGCAGGGACATCTTCCACTAGACCAGGTTGCTCAGAGCTCCATCCAACCTGGCCTTGAACACTGCCAGGGAGGGGGCAGCCACAGCTTCTCTGGACAACCTGTGCCAGTGTTTCACCACCCTCGTGGTGAAGAATTTTTTGCTAATACCTAACCTAAATCTGCCCTAATTTAGTTTAGAGCCGTTCCCCCATCACTACACATCCCTATGCCACAGCTTCAGTCTCGTATAACTACAATTTCTGGTTTTGTAAAATTAAAAAATTAATTGCAAGAAGAAAAGGATGCTCAGAGCATCCCTGCTTCCACAGGAACAGGATTTTAGAGGCTGAAGCACGCCCATCTCTGCATCGGGGGCGATGCTGCACGCTTTACAGCGAGTCGTGCAGCCGCGAGTGCCAGTGACCGACCCAAGGCGAACGCTCCGGGCTGCGCTGCTCCTCGCAGGCCCCGAGCTGCCCCTTTCCGGGCCCAGCGCC